AGTAGGGGTTCTCAAGGAAGACTTGAGTGCTTAGAGAGTACATTGGAATTTGTAAAGTGTGGAGGAGATACCTGTTGACATTTCTGCTCATGAAGAAACGCCCTATTTGTTAAAAGGGTGTTAGCAGCAAGAGGTGGAAAGTGAGAAGAAAATGAGAAGTGCCTATATACCCTGGTTATCATTTTTCTCAAGGGTCCAAGAGCATGCAGAAGCTGACTGGGATCACTGGCAAGGAGACTGGGATCACTGGCCAGGAGGCTTATCTTATGCTTTCAACACTCAGAATTTCAGAGTTTTTCATTTATGATGGCTCACTCCATGAATGAAGTTTAAGAAAGCATTTTGGGTTTTATTATTTATTTATTTATTTATTTTAAAATATATTTTATTGATTTTTTTACAGAGAGGAAGGGTAAGGGATAGAGAGCTAGAAACATCAATGACAGGGAAACATTGACCAGCTGCCTTCTGCTGGGGGTGTGCCCACAACCAAGGTACATGTCTTTGACAGGAATCAAACCTGGGACCTTTCATTCTGCAGGCCAACGCTCTACCCACTGAGCCAAAGAGGTTTTAGCGCATTTTGGGTTTTAAAACCTACTAATTTTTCTTTCCTTCCCTTCCTTTTTTCCTCCTTTCTCCCCACCCTCATTCTCATAAACTGTGGCTGAGTTTAAGTTGTCACAATTGATTTATAGATATTAAAAAGCTTTTCATTTTGAGAATATCTAGCTATTTCCTCTACCAATGAGCCTGTAATCGCTCATGCTCTTGAGAATTATTGAGATTAATAGTATGGAAAAGATACCAAGTTGATCACTTTTCTTACAAGTTTTCCTCATTAAATATGGGCTGGGTTGCCCAAAGAAGTTATGGCATTTCTGGGGAGATTTTAGATTGAAGAGATTTTTTTCAACCTGGATGGCTTGGCCATGCCCTGCCCACAGACAGAGAAATGGATAAAATGATCCTGAAAGCTCTTTTCTGTGTGACCCCTGGGTCCCGGACAGCTCCCAATGGAGGGAGGCTCCATCACAGTGTATCTGGACTAGCATGTCATGAGAAATCACTACGGCAACACTGAATAGTCTCTGAGGAACCATAGGCAAGGCGTCCCCGTAGAAGTACTCAAAGGCTCAAGGAAGCTACAGGATTTTAAATGAACTGACACATTGATGGCACAACTGATGAGATTGGCAAGCTTGATCTTAAGTGATAGATTGCCCCTTCATCAGAAAGGTTGATATACGCTGATTTCTGAATTCATTCAACAAATACTTATTGGACACTGGTCTATGTGCCAAGTGTGTTAGGCAAGGGAATACAAAAATAAGCAAACCGACATGGTTCCTGATTTCGTGGAACTTAACATCTGATAGGGGAGACTAATGTAAACTGACTATCTACAGTCTACACAAATAATTACAGAGTTGGTAAGTGTACATTATAGGATACAGTGGAATGTAGAAGATGGGAACCTAGCTGGGATGAAACGGTGGTGGTCAGAATTTGGAATTGTATGGGCTTCTCCAAGGAAGAAGATGAGATCTGTAGGAGGAGGAAACTAGACCAGCAGGTAAAATTGGAACATTCCAGGGAAGATCATGGGCAAAGACTTGATGTGGCAAAATGAGGAAAGCAGCCTAAAATAAGGATAGTGAGGCCCTAGCTGGTTTGGCTCAGTGGATAGAACATCAGCCTGTGGGTGGAAGGGTCCTGGGTTTGATTCTGGCCAGGGGAACATGCCTGAGTTGCAGGCTTGGTCCCCAGAGGGGATGTGCAGGAGGCAGCCAATCAATGATTCTCTCTCATCATTGATTTTTCTATCTCTCTCTCCCTCTTCCTTCTTCTCCTCTAAAATCAATAAAATATATTTTAAAAAAATAAAATGAGGCTAGTGAGGAGTTCTAGGTCAATGTAGCACATAATATGCATTTTAGTCATTAGCCAAAGTGCAATGGGAACACATTGGGGGGTTTCAGAAAGTAGTGGCAAGAAGAGTAGAATGATCAGATTTCAATTTTGAACAGTTCTGACTGTGAGGGAAAATCATTGAAGGTACACAAGGATGAATATGCTATGTTGAGATAAGAGATGATGGAAGCTTGAAGAGATTATTGCACTGAAGGTGATGAGAAGTAGAGGGACTTGAGATCTCCTTAGGAGACAAAATTAACAGTGTTGGTGCTGGACTGGGAAAGCCTATTTGGGGCAAAGGAGCTAGAGACTGTGGATCTGTTTACATTGTGGATGTCCAGATATAGGACACTGGTGGATTTTTATTTTAATTTTAATTTTTTAAAAAAAAATATATTATTGATTTTCCACATAGAGGAAGGAAGAGGGATAGAGAGCTAGAAACATCAATGAGAGAGAAACATCTACCAGCTGCCTCCTGCACACCCCCTTCCGGGGATGTGCCTGCAACCAATGTACTAGCCCTTGACCGGAATTGAACCTGGGACCTTTCAGTCCGCAGACTGATGCTCTATCCACTGAGCCAAACCAGTCTTGGCAACTGGTGGATTTTTAGATCAGATCAGAAGGAGAGTCCAGTAGATTATCCTGGTCCCTCCAAAATAAATGAGGAGGGATCCCCCAAGCTAAAGGTGGTAGAAGACAGCATCTCCGTTCATCCTGGTCATGGATTCCTGGAGAAGCTCCTCCAGAGCACCCTGAGTAGTAGTGGCTTCCAGCCTTTGGATGGTAGTAAGCTCTGTGAAGGAAGGGACCATATCCACTGAGTTTCATACTGTGCTTAGCAGAATTCCCAGCACATATGTCTCCAAAAATATTATAGAGAAGAATAATTTTCCCAAGAGCACAGAGAACACAAGCAATGGCAAGATCTAGGAACGCACACCTCAGACTCTTGTGCAGCGACTACTGAGGTCCCTTTAACCCCCCTCTCTGGTCTTGTGCTTCTGTTGAGACTGATGCTGTTATACTCCAAATATCCACCTTTTCACTTAGTTTTAAAAGCTTTGAAAGTTGTTGGGTGAAAATACTTGGTTTTACTTTATGGTGCTATCAAATTTGGAAGCTTTCATTTAAGTAGAACTTTTATTTTGGTTAGATGAAACAGGGAGTTACCAATTGTATCTACGGGGAGAAATGAGCAAAGAAAGCAGGTCCAGGCAAAACAAAGGTTATATCACTATTAGGTAGGCCCCCAAACAGGACTACAATGGTTGAAATTCAGTACAGCAGGATCTCTCAGGTTCTAACAGTCTTGGCAGCCCTTGGAGCCCTGGAAGGTCAGAGAGCAGCAGGCCAAACATTTTTAAAGCAGTAAAATGAAGCCAAGGTCTGGAGATTCAAGGTGAGAAGAAGGAGCCCCAGCAGACAACATTGATGAACTTCAGTTCCAAGGACAAATTGAGTGAGGGTCGCCTAAACCATAGGTGGCTAATGTAACCAGAAGATTGCAGAGATAAACAGATGAACTGTCTTTAGAGCCAGGGCACCCTGGGGATGATTTCACAGGTAGGTAGTGACAATAGGTTAGCTAACTTTGCCTGAGAATTCTTCTACCTGATCTTGCTGTGTTTTTCTTCATTTTCATGCAAAAATGATTAGTGTATCTTCCTTCAAAATCATGACATTTGTATCCAGTTGGGCTGATACCATTGGTAATTTGATTTTTCAAAGTCATAGATATGTTGTTTACTTGAAAGGAGGACATTGCCTCATAGGCAGATGTTTCCAGAAGGTAAACGATAATATACAGAATTACTGATATTTTAAGCTGTGGATTTAAATGCTCTCTTTATAATAAGTGGGGTGTGTGTTAGATAATTTATTTGGCTCTTTCACTCTATAACATTCTGCAACAAATGTTGAATTCTGACATTTCATGCATTTCTATGTAAATGTGCAGCAAAACTTTGTGAGTGATATGGGTATTAGAATCTGGGGAAGCGTCCATTTAGAGAACCATATTTTTGGATGTTGTGTGGGTCTAGGGCCAATCCAATTTGGAACCATAAATATGAGCAGGGAGGAAAGCTGCTCACACTGTAGCTGTAAAAAGAGTCATTAATTTAGTTCTATATCTTCATGGAGCCTCAGAGACCATTCAAATTCAGATTTCCAACCACCTCAGGTGTAAATTACATCAGTTATCTTTAGTCTTGTTCTATTTACAATCACCAGAATAAACATACATATTCCCTACATTTTTGTTCTTTTGGAATGGTTGGTTACTCTGTTGTTACCACTTCTCTTCCAGACAGCTGTGTGTGCATCGGTGCTCACGGTGGCCTTAAATGGGCTGTTCATCCTCCCTAGTCCCCTCTAGGATAGGAAGGCTTGCCTTGGAATCTCCCTGCCTCCACTTTTATATCCATTTCTGTTTTTCAGTCTTCTATTCCTTTTCCTTCCCTCCTACTTCCTGTCCTCCCTAGTGTTTGTCTACTGCCCTTTAGCTTATGCCAGTGACATAACACTTCCTCACCCTTCTTCTCCTGCCCCAGTACTTTGGAGTCTTATTCTCAGTAAGATAACAGAACACATCTGACCCACTTTGAAAGTAGTCTCCTTATCTCTGAACATTTTGATAAGGGACATATATTAAACATTCAAGAATGGGAGTGGGGAGTATGGGTTAAGCTGTGGTAGAGATCATTTTGGATGGGAAACCTTTTATTATTTTTAATTTATTTTAATTTATTTTTTTATATTTTATTGATTTTTTTTTTTTTTTACAGAGAGGAAGAGAGAGGGATAGAGAGGTAGAAACATCAATGAGAGAGAATCATCGATCAGCTGCCTCTTGCACACCCCCTATTGGGGATATGCCCGCAACTAAGGTACATGCCTTTGACTGGAATCGAACCCGGGACCCTTCAGTCCGCAGGCTAACGCTCTATCCACTGAGCCAAATGGGCTTCGGCTGGATGGGAAACCTTTTAATTTCTCTTACATCAGACCAAACGGGCAAAGCCTAAATATTGGGGAGGTACCATTCCTGCCCTTCTGTGTGCTATACCATCCCTGCCCTTCTTTTCAAGGAAGGCTTGAGAAGGGACTCTGGGACATCAGGGATGGTGGGATCTCTTCCTTTACCAAAGGAAGCATGATCTAAATGAGTCCACGTTGGGTTAGGTAAGGAATAAAATTAAAAAGGAGGGATGTCCTTGATATCAGCCAAACTCATAGCCTGCAGCAGACATTTGTGGTTAGCTGAGTCACACTGCCTTGGGATTAGCCAGCTTTACTTTCTGTTTCAACAATAAAAAGTCTTGCAACACTGCTGGCATGTGAGACAGAGGTATCCAGAAAATCTTGGCATCTTTTCCAGCAGCATAACGGGTCTTAGGGAAGAGACTTGTGAGAGCATGGTCCATGCACTCCACTACCAGGGAGAGGTCCACGTTCACGAAGGATACTGTGCCCTTCAGTTTGTCCATACCTGTAAAAAGAGAAAAAGTGTGTTTACTCTTTGGCAAAGGGGGGAAAGGGGTCTGTAGAGGCAAGGGTACAAAGGGGAAGATGCCTTAGTGGGAATTTTGAATTTGCCATTATAATCAAGGCCCATTGTGATGGGTTTCTATGTATTTATCAGAAAATAATGCAGCAATGCTTTCTCTAGACTGCTGGCTCTCAAAATTGAGTGGATAGCAGAATTTCCTAGAGGACTTGTTGAGGCGCAGATTGGTGGGTCCTACCTTCAGCAGGTGTAAGGTGAGGCCCAAGAATTTGCATTTCTTTCTTTTTTTTTTTTTAAAAAAAGTATTTTATTGATTTTTTACAGAGAGGAAAAGAGAGGGATAGAGAGTTAGAAACATCAATGAGAGAGAATCATCTATCAGCTGCCTCTCCCACACCCCCTACCAAGGATGTGCCCGCAACCAAGGTACCTGCCTCTGACCAGAATAGAACCCAGGACCTTTCAGTTTGCAAGCTGACGCTTTATCCACTGAGCCAAACCGGTTTTGGCAGAATTTACATTTCTATCAAGTTTCCAGGTGATGCTGATGGCTCTGGTCCAGAGACCAAACTTGGAGCGGCACCATTTTAAATCAATGAGGGAAACAGCTTCACAAAGTATATGAGGCTCCTGAGCCCAGGGAGTTAAGGGTTTGACTTTGGGTTTGTTTTGAGGGAGTACTTTGTTTACAGGAAATGTGGGAATGCATGTGCACTTAAGCATGTGTGTGCATGCACTCATGTGTCATGTGCCTCCATAATCCAGTGAATAAAGAGAGAATAGTCACTCGAAAGCCCTGACTAGGGAAGAGGAAGAGATCCTGCTCCTCAGGTAGGTGAAGTGTTTGAATGATGAGCTAAGACACTTTTGAAGAGATTGGTGTGTCATCAGGGATTGGTAATGACTTGGAACATTCCTCCTGTACTCTTTTTGTTGTTGTTGTTAATTCTCACCCAAGGATATTTTCCCATTGATTTGTGGAAAGAGTGGAAAGGATGGGGAGAAGGAGTGGAGAACATCGATGTGAGAGAGACACATAGATTGGTTGCCTACCACATGCAACCTGGGGATTGAGCCTTCAGCTGACTAGAATCAAACCCAGGACTCTTTAGTCTGTGTGTTAATGCTTTATCCATTGAGCCAAACCAGTAGGGCCTCCTGTGCTCTTAAAACATATCTGAGGTCCTGGCTGGTTTGGCTTAGTGGATAGAGCATTGGCCGAAGGACTGAAGGGACCCAGGTTCAATTCCGGTCAAAGGCACATGCCCAGGTTGTGAGTTCAGTCATCAGCCTGGCCTGCAGGAGGCAGCTGGTTGATGATTCTCTCTCATCATTGATGTTCTTTTCTCCCTCTCTCTTCCTTTCTCAAGTAATAAAAATAAAAATATTTTAAAGGAAAAAAACAACATACCTGAGTTGTGTCTTCTCAAAAGAAATCTATTATTTTAAATCTTCCTTTCAACTTCAGGCTCTAGTAGCCACAAGTTGATCAAAGAGTCTAAATGAGGTTACCTAATAAGCCTTAGTGGGTATTTTAAACTCCTATTACTCTAGCCTGGGAAACAAAGAAAGGTGAGCTTAAATTTGTGTTCTACTTTGGAACAGTAAGTCTGGCTGATCTCCAAATCCTGACTAAGAAAACTCTAAAAAGAACAACCCATGTAACATTGGGCCCGAAGCCTCGGGGTACTCCTGAGACAGGGCATTTGAACCAGGGGCTCGTGCAGACATAATTTTGAGATGAAAGTTGGTGATATACTCATAGGCATTTATAAGGTATCAATGTTAGTATCAAGTAGAGAGAACGCTTTTAAAAGAGTTTTTGTTTCTGAATCTACTTAGAACCTTCAGAGTTGGTAGTATTTAATGGCAGTGGGTTTAAATCTATAGTGACATGTCAGCACTGGGAGGTTTGTCAGACCAGAAGTTATAGTTGATATTTAGGGTGTCCCCAAAAGATATATATATATATATATTTGATAATTCACTTAATTTTCACTCCTTTTCAGTTTTTACTGATTTGAAATAAAGGGTGAAGCCAGATTAAACTTTGAACAAAAAAAATTTATCCTAAAGTACTGCTAGACTTTTTTCTTTATGGGGATACATAAAAGATAAAGTTTATGGTACAAAACTGTTGAAGAATTAAGGCAACAGTTGAAGAATCAAGGGCACATAAATACTGAACAAAATGATTCTAAATGTTTGTCAATCCACTGCTTTGAGTTATCAGTGATGCCTGGATCAGAATGGTCATTAGTATGAAAACAGGTACTAACAAAACAAAACAAAAATTCATTTCTGCAGATTATTTTAAGTTTTGAAAATGAACTGTATGATCATAAACACTGACTTTATCAATAATTAAAAGTGCATATTCATTTTTTGGGACACCATGTATATGTGTATATGTTTGCATCTGTGTGTGCGTGAGTGAGTGTATGTGTGTATGTTTAGTGGGTGGGGTGGTTGAGGGAGTGAGTCATTCTAAAAACCTCCCTAGGTGGATCTGCCTTGTGAACTACTGACCTTGAACCTTACCACAGTTGGCTGTTTTACCAAGCTCATTGATGAAGAGGCTAGATTACAGCTTGGAGGAATAGAGTGACACAAAGTTAGATGGGGCAGGGACAGGAAGTTCGAGGTGGAAGTGCAATCCTGATACAGGAACTTCGACCAGATCCTTCATGCCTGTTGACATTATAGTGTGGTGCGAAGTCAGGCTACCTGCATTCAAATCTAGTACTTCCACTTACAACTCGGAAACTTGGGGCAACTTACTTTTCTGTTTCTATAAAATTAAGGTGGTATCTATTTCATACAGATTATTTGGGCATTTTATTTATTTACTTTTTAAGCATTTTAAATGAAAGTTCATGTAAGCTCTTACAGTGGGGACAAGTACACAGTAAATGTTCACTATATGTTAGTCATCATAGTTAATCTTTACTCTTATTCCTCCATCCCTGACTTAATCTCTGGACTTACTTCTTCTATCTCTACTCCCCCTGCATTCCTGCTCCAGAAAGTTTTTACCCAAGTAATTCCTTCCTGTACTTTAGGCTTTATTCAAACCTGACCTGTCCCATAAAGGTTTCTTAGCCAGCATTTTCTTTTTTCTTGGTCTGAATTCCTTGGGCAATTAGAGACCACACCATATAGCACCCTTCTGGACTCTAGGGTTATGTCTAAGACATAAAGAAAGAATTGATTTTCTTCATGCTATACAGTCTCATTATTTTACAGTCTCTTTTGGTTACTTTTTGTTTTCAATTAGATTATAAGTTAGTTAAAGGTCAGAGACAAAGTCTTTGTATTTTGGAACCTCCATAAATTCTGGAACAATGTTAAATGATTGATTGGTAGAGGAGTTTTTTGAGGCTCATTGTATTGCCTTGGGTAGGCCATTTCGCCTTCCCAAGCCTCTGCTTACTATTCATATAGTGCTTTTGTGGTGGTGTTTTTTGTTTGTTTGTTTGGTAAATGATACACATAATTTATAAAGTGCTCAGTATAGAACTTGGCACTTAGTAAGTGCTCAGAGGAGCAGGAGATGACGCTGGAATTAGTAGGAATACCTGATCATATTTAACATCCCTATTACTGTGAGAACCTCATTTTTAAATATATGTTTTAGTCTCCTGCATGCTGCCTAGAACAACGAATCTCAGAGGACCCTGAGTCCATCCTCAAAACTCACATTTTTCAATGTAACCTTCTCCATATTGGTGTTTGATATCTGGAGACAGGTCCTTCCAAATGGCAAATTTCTTCTCAGCAGTCTTTACTGGATCTGATAATCCTGTTTTGAATAATCCTGGTTCGATGCAAGAAACGTGCACACCAAAAGCTTTCATGTCCCGCCTGTGTAAAAAAACAAACACACACACACACACACACACACAAAACCGTTGATGATATTTAGTGGAGGTCCATTTGGAAAATGTTTGTGATATTTTCTTGTGAAACTTTTCGTGGGATCACAGAATTGGGTGCATTGGAAAGGTGCATCTTGTTCTACCCTCTCAGTTTGCAGATCTGAAGATCAGGGTGGTGAAGTGAGGACTGGTTTAGTGTCAGAACAGGACAGGGACCTGGGTAGACCCATCCCCAGTCTTATGTTCCCCCTGACTTGAAAGCATTTTGGCTGAGGACAGGTTTCTTTTCAGTACGTAGGGTACTTTATGGTGAAATTGACTGATGACTGGTCTGGCTGGACAAGTTTACCTCCATTCTAGGAACGTGAGGAGACTGCAGCATGAATGAGGATATGCTGAGGAACACAGTATGACTTGACTAACCTGTTTTTTAGGCCACTCAGCAAGCTCTTTCATCATCTCAAGGCAGAAAACCTAAACCTATGCATTTACCAGGCAACAGGGTTTCGGCGAAATCATGGTCCCCGTTTCTTTAAGCAACCCAACGTATAGCAAACCATTATGTAAATAATTATTCCCCATATTTAACTTATATCAGGGGTATATAAGGAAGTAATTATTCATTTTACAAAAAACTCTTATCAACCATAAGACTTACTAAGAATTTACCAATAACCTCACAATGCGATTTAATTGATCTTACATTTTACTTTCTATCGATAGCAACACACCTATTGTTTAATTTGAAGTATCTTTTACAAAAATGCCAATTAGCTTGGTTTTATTATTTATAATATCTATATATTTATTTAATAAAGAAAAATAATTCTTATATATTTTTTTCTTTTACAAAAAAAGCCCTGTGTCAAGGATTGAGTTTCAATAGATCGTAGCGAGGGAGCTGCTCTGCTACGTACAAAACGCTCACCCAGAAACAGGTCGACTACGAATGGTTTAGCGCCAGGTTTCCCGAGAACGTGCGTTGCGTGAAGGGCGTGGGGGTGGCCCCCTTTCCAGCCGCACTCCGTTTCCCAGGACGAAGGGCTCTCCCCACCGGGTAAATTAGCTTGATTTTAAATTGTTTGAAGGGTATGTTGCTTGCATTGAAATAAAAAAGATATTTTTCAACCTGATTGTATTTTTCTCGCCTATCTTCTGATCTCCTTTGGGTTGTAAAGTGCTGAAGGGGTATATGGGAAAACTTTCCTCCCCATCCACTCATAAAAATAACATCCTTGAGTGACAAATGGCTTTAAGTCATCCAACTAACCTTACCAGGTGAGTAAAACCAGTAGGAAACCAGTATGTTGCTGAACAAATACAGCTTTAAAGAGCTCCAACCCTTTCCCAGTAGGACAGCTGCCCCCCACACTCTCCTGGAGCTGCCGCTGGACTGTGGCCTGCATGCACAACACCATTTCCAATACTAGTTCCACGACTTAAAAACGTATAAACACTCCCTACTGATTAATTCCAGGCATAGCACAGCTGTGTTACAATCCCACAAACCCTTCAGTTGAAATATCTTTTTAAAATTAAGTATGTCTCTAAGCGTGCTAACATTTTATTATGACACTGCTGCTGAGAAAGTGGAACCCAAGGGCAACCAAGCAGACTAATGGAGGTTGTCCAAGGCCTTGCTACTCGAAATGTCATCTCTCAGCCATGGGCAGCACTTGGGTGCTTGCTATAAATGCAGAAACCCAGGACCTACCTCAGACCCACTGAATCAGAACCTGAATTTTGAAAAGATCAAGGCGATTCATATGCACATTAACATTGAAGAAGCATTGTTCTGACATTGTCTTGTGTGTTTATTTCCTGGAAGAATCAAACCTGGCAACCTGATCAAATGGCAAAATGGAGTTGCTCTCTCTCGGTTAATCTCTGTAGGATAATCTAACTTTTTATTAGTAAGCTATACCTAGATCCACAGTGTAGATCATAACATGTACCTGCAACTAGTTGAATAAATAAATGGTTGAATTGAAGAAAAGACTGTATGTAATTTCATCTTTTCTCTTGCTTATCATAGCACACTCAACTGGATACTTTCCACTGCTCCACTAGTCCCCTCCACCCCTGTGTCTGCACTCCCTGCTGGAGGCCTGCCTATATTAACTATATTTTAGCTTCTGTTTGGTTTAGTCAATTGGGAGCACCAGAGGAAGGTCAGAGGAAGTAATGAGAAGAAAATATTTTCTTTTCGGAGAACAAGAAAAATAGGTTTATTTGCGTTATGCTTATTAATTTGTGCAGTTATTCAGTATCTGGAAAGTTAATGTTCAAGAAAATATTAATTTTTATTAAAATGTTCTATTATTTACTCATTTATTTCAGCCCTTTGTATTCAGCATGTGTCTATTGAAAAAAATCTATGTGTTTGTTTTTTTTTGCAACCCACATAAACTAAAATCTTGTTTACTTGGCCCGTGTTAGCCTTTGAGTTGGACATGCTTGTGATAAGCTATCTATTGGGAATAATTTAAAGCACTAAATAGAATGTCTGGTACATAATAAATAACATTCAATAAATGTTAGCCGCTATTATTTCTTAATATGGTATTTGCTTTACCTTAAGCAGTCATTGAAGGCTTCTACTCCATATTTGGATAGTGTATAGCCTCCTCCACCAAATGCAAGACGCCCCCCGATGCTGGAGACATTGATGACCCTCCCTCGAGCTTTCTTGACCAAGGGAAGCATATTTAAGGTCACATCGATGAGTCCGAACAGGTTCACTTCTACGGGTTCTCTGTAGTCCTTCACTGTCAGCCAGTCGGTTGGAGCCAGCACGCCGACAACACCAGCATTATTGATCAGACCCCAGAGCCCTAGAACAGAGAGGAAGGAAAGGAGATGTGGTAGAAAGCATTCTTAATGGAAATATTGCCTCTGCTTTTCACAATGGTTCCATTTCCTCCCCTAGTCATACTTGTGCTTTGAAATACTCTACAATTTGGGGAAGTGACAGCAGAAAGGGTGGGAGGCTGAATTGAAATAGTTAAACTTCTATTACTGGAACTTCTGTCACAGTTATTCTATTTTCTGGTTCTGAATGTCAAATGCTGATACTCAGTGGCACTTTAGCTTTTTAAACTCAGATATAGAGTAAATTGGTCTATTTTCCTACCTTTCTAGATGGCAAGGCCAGAGCATATTGATAAACTTTATATGGATAAAGAGCAACATCCATCTACTTCACATTTGTTTTTGGTAAAAAAATAAAATAAAATAAAAAAAAAATAAAAAAAAATCCCATCATTCACTTGGCTTATTTATGTTGGGAAACATTTATTATGTGTAAAGCTGTTTGGAATTCAAGCTTTAAAAATTATGTGGAGTCTATCAAACCATTGGTTTTGAGGAATAGACTCTCAATTATATGATGAAGATGTGATAGAAAAAAACATTTGTGTGGAGTTTTTTTTTTTCCCCTTTGTGGACCCATTAAATATCTTCATCCATGAGAATATTTCAAATTTCATTCAAGCCAATGTAAGTTCTCGAGTTCAGAATGCTGCCTTCTTAGCAGAATGAGGCCCAATAGCTCGCTACTCTACCATGACTGTCAAAGACACCTGTACTGAAATTCTGAGGCCATTTTCTATGTTGGCCATTGAACATGTATAAGCTCTGGAACCATTTTAAGGTGGGAAGCAGATTTCAGGTATTCAGAATTTGGGGGTTGTTCCCATATTCTCCTATAGATTTTAACCCCAGGTTCCTTTGCTGTATATATGGCTAGAGTAGCACTTCACTGGAGAAGGCTGGGAAAAGTTCAACGCCCATCTCAGTTTTAAATTCACCAGTGGGTTTTTAAGACTGAGGATAACTTGAGCTGTGTTTCTCATGTACACCATTAAAGGCTATCCTCAGATTTCTCCAATCTTCTCAGCAGTGTATAGCAGGCATTTAAGAGACATTTTCTTGAAAGGCCACATAATATCCAAGCACATTTTGCTAGCTTTAGGTACTTCGCAACACCCCTTCCATTCTCCCCGGCCCCACGTCATTCACCTTTTTCCCCAACGTGGTCTTTCACCCACTGGGCGGTCCTCTTGACATTCTCTGGGTCAGTCACGTCCAGAAGCACAGTGTGAAGCCTCTCGGAGGTTTCCGCCTTTAACGCTGTTGATCCCGCCTCAGTCAGACAGGTAGCAATCACACGAAATCCTTTTTTATCAAAAGTCCTGGCCGCCAAGTTCCCAAAGCCGGAGTCACACCCCGTAATGAAGATATACTTATCAGTGACGTCTTCAATCTTTGGTTGCCTTTTACGAGTATAGCTCCATAGAATAACACAAAGGACTAAGAGGGCTAACACCCATAACAACATTGTTTTCCTATAGACACAAGATTACTTCTTTCTTGAACAATAAAATAAGATGTTGTCCTGAGTGTACAAAATTAGAAAGAAAAATCAAATTAGGACCATCGAAGCATCAGACCCAGGATTGATGAACTTGAGGTATTTTAATACATTTGAATGGATAAATATAGTTTTAAAAACTCATTTGGTTAGGAAGATGGCCATGTAGGTGCTAAACCACTTCTCTAAAGTAATGCAAAAATGAACCAAGTAATAGTAAGAAAAACTAAATGGGAGAAAGAGAGAGAGAGAGAGAGAGAGAGAGAGAGAGAGAGAGAGAGAGAGAGAGAGAGAGAGAGACAGAGAGAGAGAGAAAACTCTGAGACAACTCAGTGCAGACAGTGTTGAAGTGCAAGGCCACCAATGAGTTCACCTAGAGAGGGTGAGATGAATATGAAGAGGTTGAAAGAGAGATGAGGCCAAGGTCACAGAATCCCAAACCAGAATCAGAATCCTGATTCTGACCTCTCTGGATTCCAGCTTCCTGGGAGAAAAAAGATCGCATGTACAGAGGACAAAGCCGAGCCAATTCATACTTTAAAATTGTGAGGCTTTGACAATAGAAGCATGAGACTGACCTGGAAAATTAATTTTTGTCAGGACTGGAGAAAACCTTGAGCCTAAAATAAATTAGGCAGAAAGAAGTCTGCATCTATATTCCCCCTGAGCATAAATCACTTTAAATTTTTTTAAAAGAAAATGTTATTATTTCATGAACACTTCCTACAGCAATTCAAAATTCTCACCATTATTTTTAAGTTAAGAATAAATGTTAAAGAAACAGTACTATAGGAATTTTACAGTCTTGACCATTTAAATGTATATGCCACCTTGAAAGGTCCACTAAATATTATACAGGGTTTGGCTATCTATAATAATTAAAGTGTAATATGATAATTAGACTGAACAGCCAAACGACCTTCCAGATTCCAGATGAAGCCATGGCTGTGAGGGCCAAGCCTCTTGCATGAGTTTCATGCATCAAGCCTCTAGTAAAATAATAGTTGTGGATGAATGAGGTATTGTGTCATTGAAAACAAGTATAATATTAATTTGGAAGTGTAATATCAAAACTATCACAGGAAAATATTTCAGATTACCTTAGGATATAAAGTTCCATATACAATGCAGTGTTATTTACAAAGACAGCCAACCCTATTACTTTTACTGTGGATAATGATGTCTGGGGAAGAGCAAGCCATCTGGCAGAAGGAAATGAATAAGAACTGTAGGGCTTTGCCTACTTGTCTCGGGTCTGTGCATCAAGGCAGTCCAGGCCTCCTGCCTCACAGCTATAAGGCAGCCCAAAGGAAGATTATCAGGTCCCACCCCACAGAGGGGCATTCCATGACCTGTGTTGGCTTTCCCTGCTTATGGAAGGAAGATAGGCCACAGAGAACATCCTGTGTGAGAAAGACCTTATTCCTTCCCCCATGGAGCCTCAGAAAGTCTCCTCACTTTGCTGTAGATCCACACACACCTTTACCCTTGACCTGGAAATACCCTTAGAATCAAGAGAGGCATTAAGGACCTCATAGAGGACGATGGGCAGATAGGCCCTGAGTTCAAATTCAGGCTTCATGGATGCTTCTGGAATCCTGGAGGACAATGGACAGATAGGCCCTGAGTTCAAGTTCAAGCTTCATGGGTGCTCCTGGAATCATGGCTGCTCATAGACACTGTGCTCAAAAAGTATTGGCAAGGCCAAGAAGTTTTATAAATTTTGTTTGGGCTTTTTAATATATAATATTTAATATGATTATATATGGATTTCTGGCTTTTCCTTTGAATCATTTTTTAATTGCTTTTTTTTTTAACTTATAAAAGTGACTTGTGCTCATGGTAAAAATATTTGACTTAATATTTTGTGGGCTTTTTCCTAGTATTTTCCTTAGTATATAAATATTCTCCCCATAATAAAGATCTTAAACACACACAGAGAGATACAATTAAACATACACACACTTGTGTGTACACAAACAGACTATTTTATTTATACTGCTTTATAAGGAACAGATTGTTTCAGATAAAAGATAACTCAATGTAATATATCTTCTAAACTTCTTAAGGAAATTTTAGGTTCTGCTTTCACATTTTTTCCCGGACAAAAGATCTACAGCTAAAGAAAGAAAGGATTAAACACACACACACACACACACAAAAAATACAAAAAACAAAAAAATCCTGTCAATTGATAAAAATTAGTCAGAGGTAAATATTAAAATGCTAGAGGCTCAGTGCATAAATTTGTGCATGGGTGGGGTCCAGCTAGCCTGGCCAGGGGGAGGGGACGTGGGCAGTTGGCCTGCTGGTCGAACTCCTAGTCAAGGAGACAATTTGCATATTAGCCTTTTATTATATAGGATATACACTGAGTGGCCAGATTATTATGCATTCAGAGATCATAATAATCTTGCCACTAAGTGTACATATAGACTAGAAGTTCAATGCACAAAATTCATGCAAGGGGCTTGGCCCTTGCAGCCACTGCTGCCCTGGCCCTCACAGCCTGGGTCCAGACAGTCATCTGCATGGCCATTCTGCTGTTTGGCCTAGTTAGTATATTATCTCTTTATTATATAGGATGGTAAGTTTGGTCCTAGCTGGTTTGGCTCAGTGGATAGAGCATCAGCCTGTGGATTGAAGGGTCCCAGGTTTGATTCCACTCAAGGGCATGGACCTTGGTTGCAGTGTGTGCCAGAGGCAACCAATCAATGTGTCTCTCTCACATGGATATTTCTCTCTGTCTCTCCCCTTCCCCTTTACTCTCTCTAAAAATCAATGGAAAAATCTCCATGGGTGAGGATTAACAACTACACGAAAAGGTAGGTTTGGGCAAACTAGTTGATTCTTGTGGTATGGCTATGATTATTTCTAAAGCAGTTCAGTGTTTAGACTACACTGACTTAATAATTTGGTGTAGTTTTCAAAAAATCTTTCCTGTGTAGGGCTTACTGATTTGTTGCAAATTACTGTCCACATAGCAGGATTTCCCCTTCTCAAATATATAAATACATTAAAATGTATAATTTGGGGGTGGGAGTGTAACTGACTTTTATAAAATTACATATGTAGACATTTTAAAGAAATTTTATATTTAGCCAGGACCGGTTTGGCTCAATGGATAGAGGGTCTGCTTGGGGACTGAAGGGTCCCGGGTTCGATTCCGGTCAAGGGCATGTATCTTGGTTGTGGGCATATCCCCAGTAGGGGGTGTGCAAGAGGCAGCTGATCGATAACTCTCTCTTATCGATGTTTCTAACTCTCTATCTCTCTTCCTTCCTCTCTGTATAAAATCAATAAAATGTATTTTTTTAAAAAGAAATTTTATATTTATAAATTCAATTAGTGTAGTGTTTTGCTTAAGTCTGGCCTTGGTAAATAATTATCAAATAGCTAAATACAGTATTGAATATTTCCTGAATGGAATCTGTAGGCTTCATTGCAATTCAAATCCCATGGAAATTATTTGAAAAAGGCAAATGCTCACACAGGTTAATGTGTCCTGGAGCAGAGAGTGATACTTTTTGTGTTGTCCTGTTTTGCCAGAGAAAACCATAATGGGAGAAACAAACAAAAAACAAAACACAATGGCTTACCTTTCTGAAGCCTTCTACTCTGCACATTTACATTTAACTCATTTGATCCTCTCAACAATCTTGTTAGTTAGACAGGGCACATTATTTGCCACACTTTACAGAAGAACTAATATTCCAATTAATAAATGTAAAAAGAAAGATGGAATTAGAAAAGCACCAATTTTTTCAGGCAAGAATGTTCAATGGATGCTAAAACTAGTGGGTGAAACTCTGATGAGAAAAAAATAATTATAGAATTTCAAAGAATCTCCCCATAAGATGCATACTAACTTAAAAAAAAAAAAGTAGTAGTAATCTCACTGTGGAGAAGTCCAACAGACAACCACCTGAATCAACTTACATGTAAAAGTGCAGTGTAGAAGGTTTCACAAAGGTAAGCCATTGTTTTACTGTGACTCCCCTTATGCTTGCCCCTGGCAAAACAGGACAACACAGAGTCTCCCCTCTCTGCTCTAGGAGACATTAAACCCCATGGGCATTTGCCTTTTTCAAATAATTTTCATGGGATTTGAATTGCAGTGAAGCCTACAGATTCCATTCAGGGAATACAGTCAATATTGAGTTATTCAAAGATTATTTATCAAGGTCACACTTAAGCAAAACACTACACTAGTAGAATTTATAAATATAAAATTTCCTTAAAATCTCTACATATGAAATAAAAATTAATCCTACTGGTTATGGGACAAACCAAGGCCATGTGCCTCCTGGTATGGCACACTCTTCAAAACCCCCGAAGTCACGAAGGCAAAGAAAGATAGGAATACAGCTGTATCAGTCTGAGTGTGATCATAAGATGAGAGTCACTATAACAATTATAGAAACAAGGAGTATAATATGGGAATCAGGTGGTTGTGGGGGAGTGAAGGCTGAGAGATCAGGAACAGTTACTAGTGATGTCAGCCTGAAGCCCTGAAGCATGGAGAAGCCGCAGCTTGTAGGGAAGTTGAGAAACTGCTATCAGCATGACCACGATGCAAGAGCTCATAAAAAGGCCTGCAAAGCCATCGTGTCTTAACATGGCAGCTTCTCAAGAACACAGTTTCCACTTCACTTCCTTTATTCTGATCTCTAATAATGAACTTGGCATTGTTATCTTTTTAAAAAAAGAAAGACTTAGAACTCTCCCAGATGCCACACTGAGAAGGATGCAAAGCACATCTATGCATAACCAGCAGCTAGTCATGCATAGACATATCTTTCAGTTCTACTTAATGCATAGCCTGTACTCTTCAAAAACAAAGCCCTGAAGGAAAGAAACACTGAGGATTGTTCTAGATAAATGAAGATCAAAGAGATGTGATAACCCAACACAACATGTGATCCTGGACCAGAAAATCTTTGTTTTTCTTTCACCAAAAAGAACATTATTAGGTCAATTTGTGAAATTTGAATGAAATCACTAGATCCGATAAATAATATTGC